AAAAAAAGCGCTGCTAAAGGTCTGTTTTGGCATAGTGACTTTTACTACTTTATTAACCAATAAAATACATACTATTAACCATGTTCTGAGAAATTTATTCACGTATTTGTGAACAATAAATTAGGTGTAGGATGTAGGAAAGAGTGTAAAAATAACATTTTTCATAGGAACAATCTTTTTCATTAAACATCCAAATTAAATTTCTGACATAGGAGCTTTAAATACTGTGTAGAAATATTGCGAAGACCGGTGATATTTATGCTTTATGAAGAAGATAACTTTGGGTGATTTGAAATACACTGTTCACATTAAGAATATTTTGGATGTGAATAGAATGATTGGACAAATCTTAAGAAACTTTCAAAGACTAATTAAGATGGACAAATTTGAACTTTCCAAATAAAACTAACTGATCTATTTTTTTTTAATAAATAAATCGGTTGAGTCGGGTGTTGGGTTAATTCGATTTTTAATTTAAATAGTATAAAAATGTTTCCATCAAGCTCAAATATTTATTTTGGATCCGTTGAAAACTAAAATTAACCAAACTTAATTTTATATATATATATATATATATATATATATATATATATATATATATATATATATATATATATATATATATATATATATATATATATATATATATATATATATATATATATATATATATATATATATATATATATATATATATATATATATATATATATATATATATATATATATATATATATATATATATATATATATTGTTCTGGACTGGGCCGAGGCTTAGCCCACAATCGAGAAGGCCCAAAATTCCACTGAGGTTGGGCCCAATTGGACCACACTAATGAGCAGGGACCCATAGGCAGAACCTCCTCCCGTCGGGCAGGTGCCCATCCCGTGGGCAGAACCTGTGCCCATCCTGTCGGGCAGAACCTGTGCCCATCCCGTCAGGGCAGAACCTCCTCCCGTCGGGCAGGTGCCCATCCCGTGGGCAGAACCTGTGCCCATCCTGTCGGGCAGAACCTGTGCCCATCCTGTCAGGGCAGAACCTCCTCCCGTCGGGCAGGTGCCCATCCTGTGGGCAGAACCTGTGCCCATCCTGTCGGGCAGAACCTGTGCCCATCCCGTCAGGGCAGAACCTCCTCCCGTCGGGCAGGTGCCCATCCCGTGGGCAGAACCTGTGCTCATCCCCTCCGTGGGGAGAACAACGTGCCCGGCGCACGTTCTCCACGTGCTCCCCTCCGGAAGAGCAGGTCAAACCCACTTTCCGGAGATCTAGGAGCAGTTGGACTAGGGCGAAGACCACGTCCTGGTCTTCACTACGCCACGTAAGCCCTAGCAGTCATTAGGGTTGGGCCTGGTCATCCAGCCCATCTCAAATGACCGTTGGCCCAGCGCTGGGGTCTCTCTATAAATACCTTCTTTCTCAAGAGGGTCAGGTAATTCAATTCTCTACCAACTTTCTGTATTTGCTATCACTCTGCCCATTTTCTCATTTTGGCATCGGAGTGCCTTGCAGGTACACCCCCTCCTCATCCTCCCCACCGGTGAACAGGAAGCAGCCTAACGGAGCGGGGCCATCCAGTGATCCCCTTCTGATCAGGTCAGATCAGTGGCGCCGTCTGTGGGAAACTAAGCTCCCCCGTTCCTCCGAGAAGAGAACCAAAGCTTCATCTCTCAAAACTTCAAGATCACGAGTGCCCTCCGCCATGGCGACACTGTTCACAATTGTCCTCCCTTCGTCGAGCAGAAGACTCCGATGGGCAGGACCTGGCTGCCCACCATCCAGTCTTTGTCCTCTCCTTTGTCGAACAGAAGACTCCGATGGGCAGGACCCTGGCTGCCCACCAGCCAATCTTTGTCCTCCTTTCGTCGAGCAGAAGACTCCGATGGGCAGGACCCTGGCTGCCCACCAGCCAATCTTTGTCCTCCTTTCGTCGAGCAGAAGACTCTGATGGGCAGGACCCTGGCTGCCCACCAGCCAATCTTTGTCCTCCTTTCGTCGAGCAGAAGACTCCGATGGGCAGGACCCTGGCTGCCCACCAGCCAGTCTTTGTCCTCCTTTCGCCGAGCAGAAGACTCCGATGAGCAGGACCCTGGCTGCCCACCAGCCAGTCTTTGTCCTCTCTTTCGTCGGGCAGAAGACTCTGCCGGGCAGGACCCTGGCTTCCATCCAGCCTTGTCCTCCCTTCGAAAACCTACTACCTCGAAAACTTACACGGGACCATATAGCTCGACCATGGAACGCTGAAAAGCTAAAAAAATACTACAGTTAAACAACACTGCCCGCGAGGGACAACCCGCGCGAACAAGAGGGTGGACTGATACGGCCACACCTCACCGACCTTACCTTAGCGGGCACTATACCTCCCCGAACAAAAAGAGAATAGCCCGCTCGACGGCACCCCCTCGATCGAGAGTCGCCGCCGCAGTATCATAATCGGCCGAACGCCCAGCTCGCGATGGGATGTTCAAGCCTACAGGATAGATCACAACCGTGACCTAACTCTTGTCCGCCCAGGAAGCTACCCCGTGCATCCGGATAGTTCCCCACACTACCGGGTAACACGCACCGAGCAAAGGTCCCCCACAAAACAATAAACATTCACATCATAATGGAGCTCGGCAAAACGAGCCAACACTTAGCGAAAAAGCATAACAATCATGCACGCACACAAAACTTAGAAAGGAAAACAAGAATTCCATAAAAGGGGCACAAGCCCAGAAGTCAAAACGTTATAATAAACGGGCACGACCCCGGATGTCGAGCAGAAACGATCGAAGGTGTCGAGCAGAATTTTTTGGATGTCGAGCGACTGCAATTTCGCCCTTCCCAGATGATCGATACGATCGACGTCATTCTCGCATCCTGCCTGACATATCAGCGCGCACAACGATATTCTCTACTTAAGTCATAGCTCTCCTGACAGCGAACTACGACTTGGAGGGCTCCTGTTCTGGACTGGGCCGAGGCTTATCCCACAATCGAGAAGGCCCAAAATCCCACTGAGGTTGGGCCCAATTGGACCACACTAATGAACAGGGACCCATAGGCAGAACCTCCTCCCGTCGGGAAGGTGCCCATCCCGTGGGCAGAACCTGTGCCCATCCTGTCGGGCAGAACCTGTGCCCATCCCGTCAGGGCAGAACCTCCTCCCGTCGGGCAGGTGCCCATCCCGTGGGCAGAACCTGTGCCCATCCTGTCGGGCAGAACCTGTGCCCATCCCGTCAGGGCAGAACCTCCTCCCGTCGGGCAGGTGCCCATCCCGTGGGCAGAACCTGTGCCCATCCTGTCGGGCAGAACCTGTGCCCATCCCGTCAGGGCAGAACCTCCTCCCGTCGGGCAGGTGCTCATCCTGTGGGCAGAACCTATGCCCATCCCCTCCGCGGGGAGAACAACGTGCCCGGCGCACGTTCTCCACGTGCTCCCCTCCGCGGGGACACGTCATCAACCAACTGCCCACCTCCGAAAGAGCAGGTCAAACCCACTTTCCGGAGATCTAGGAGCAGTTGGACTAGGGCGAATACCACGTCCTGGTCTTCACTACGCCACGTAAGCCCTAGCAGTCATTAGGGTTGGGCCTGGTCATCCAGCCCATCTCAAATGACCGTTGGCCCAGCGCTGAGGTCTCTCTATAAATACCCTCTTCCTCAAGAGGGTCAGGTAATTCAATTCTCTACCAACTTTCTGTATTTGCTGTCACTCTGCCCATTTTCTCACTTTGGCATCGGAGTGCCTTGCAGGTACACCCCCTCCTCATCCTCCCCACCGGTGAACAGGAAGCAGCCTAACGGAGCGGGGCCATCCAGTGATCCCCTTCTGATCAGGTCAGATCATATATATATATATATATATATATATATATATATATATATATATATATATATATATATATATATATATATATATATATATATATATATATATATATATATATATATATATATATATATATATATATATATATATATATATATATATATATATATATATATATATATATATATATATATATATATATATATATATATATATATATATATATATATATATATATATATATATATATATATATATATATATATATATAAAATTTATTTTTATTACTATATGACTGATTTTATTAGAAAAATAAAATTTATAATATTGCAGAATATTATCATTTTTATAATTTAATAGTGATATTGTATATTTTTAAAATTATAAGACATGTAATATAAAATTTTAAGTATTATTTAATTAATAATTTAAAATATAATAATCAAAATTAATGTCAAATAATATTAAAAAATATTATCAATGTCAAATAACATTGAAAAATATTATCATGCAATAATAAATTTTCTTTTAATAATAAAAAAATAATTTTTTAACTATTCTAAAATTTTAATATTTTTTATAATTTTTTTTTAAAAAAATAGTAATTTTTATTAGTTTATTCTAATAAATATGAAATATTAGAACCGATTAGCCGACTCAACTTAACTGTCAAACTATCAAATTGACTTAATTGAATTCGACGAAAACCAAAATTTTATCGATTAAAATTGAACAATAAAAATAAAACTGTGATTTATATCTAATTTAAATTTTAAATCTGAAACCGATCGAACATATTTATACTAAAAAAAAAAGTATAACTATTTTTGACAGTGATGTTTCTCCATCTTTTAAATCAGGTTAAGTCCACATTAATACAATTCATAAAAAGAACGTTTATAAATTGATATCTTTTATTAAAAAAAATTATATTTAAAAACGAAGAAAATGATTATTATGATATACTTAAAGAAACCATAACATAAACAATATATGTGCTTTCTCATTATCATAGACATAACATTTTCAAAAGATCAAATATAATAGTAAATTCTGCAAATTATACTACATAGTAAAAGGTAACGAAAGTGAAATAGAAACTGACCAAACATGGTTATAATAACTACTAGTATAACTACTTAACAGAAGTCATAATTAATTCATGTGAAAGCACCAAACACATGCATCCTCAACATTCCTCATATGTTTTTCCACCTTCAATGAGAATAGCCTTCATCTTGTTTGTAATCTCTTGCATTTGCTCCCTAGAATGCAACGGTGCTGGATACACGCACACACAATCTAGCTTTCCATCTCTTATGGTATCAAAAATAGCCATAGACGGTCCCAAACCATGAACCGAAGCACACCCCATGTAGTCATCAACCCCTTCCTCTCGTTGCATCTCGCCACCGTCGTCAAACACCGTATCCTCGAACACCGACATTATCGATGTTCTTGATGAAGATGTCAAACCAGGATTCTCTATGGCCTTGCACATGAGAAAATTCATGTCAGCCATATCTGAAAAATGCTTGTCATTGTTCTTAGAGCTGGAAAATGCTCCATAAGTCCTCTTGGCTAGTTCCCAAAGACTTTCACCACCTTTCATCACATGGTTGCTCAGGATGGCAGCGTGATAAAACCCTACACATTCAAATATAATTAAATGAATATTTTAATTTTTATAAAATTAGTTTTTGTTGTTTTTAAAGCAACATTTATCGTTGTACGTCAATTAAAAATTCAAATTTGTTGAACCTTCTGGGCTTTATTAATGTTCAGCTTACTACAAATGGCGTGCTGCAAGCTACAGTGCCAGTTTTTCCTCTTTCTTTCCTTTCACAAGGGAGGAATTAACGTTGAACAGTCAGTTGTATAGTACTTCCATATCCATGTCGCATTAATGGTTTTATCAACTTTGTCCTCTCAATCACTTACTATTATATTTTTATAGAAAAATCGACAATAACAAAAAACTAATCTCTCGAATCAGATAGAATGATAATGATAATGAAATGTAAAGTAATTTTTCAAGAAAATTTAACATTGCTACGTATTAAGACTAAGTTCCAAATGAAACTGAGAAAAAACATACCAAAATGGTGACTTGAGAGAGGCGGGTCCAGCGTGGACCGGCAGTCAGTGAGGGTAATAATCCCGTACTTCTTACAACTATTCTTGTTACTATGTGCCGCCATTAATCCTGCTGCTGATATTGCTCCACACACTTTAATCTTACTCCGCTTACAACCCTGAAATAATTAATTAATCTTTCATCAATCATCAAATAATTAAACTAAATAATTAATCAAATATTTAGTGCATGCTTACATCTAAAACCCTCTTGGTATCATTTTGATTCAGTTGCATTCTAACCACTTGTGAAAACCTAGCATTTTTCGTATCACTAAATTTCAAATTAGTAAACCTAAACGAATTAACAGAATAACTAAGCACGTCTAACCCACGCGCCCAAATATTCTTCTTCGCTTTCCGACCAGGAACAAGATCCTCAATCGCCAAAGGAACAACATTCTCAATCTCAACACCATTAGTCTCTTTTTCATCTTTCTTCATCAACACAAGCAACTCTCTCAACAGCGACACCGCGGTCGTTCTATCACAAGCTGCCACATGAAGCCTCATAACCACCACCCATGTTTTCGCGTCAGGCATAGCGTAAACGGTCACAAACAGCATGTCGGAGCCGGTGGTGCTACAGTCTTGCTCTTGCCACGTGTTACGGTTGAGTTCGTGTTCGAGGATTTTTTGTAACGGAGAAATGGAAATGGTGTCGTTTTTGTTGTTTTTGAGAATCTCGGAGGTGGCGGTGAGGCTGTGGGATTCGATTTTGATGAAGGGAGTGGGAGAGGTGACGAAGGAGAATGCTGTGTCTGTTGTGTTCGAATGGTGGAGTTTTGATCGGAGGATAGGATGGGAATTTTGTAGTTTGTGGAGGGCGGTTTGGAAACGGGAAATGTCGATGGGTTTTGTGAGGAGGAGTGATAGAACTGCAATGCCGGTGCCACCGCGGATCGCTTTGCACCAGCTATATTCGGTGCCACCAACTGTTCGACCTTTTGCTTCAACCGTCGACGACATGGCTAGTTATAGTTACTTACAATCTTATTTGTTCAAAATGGAACTAACGCAGAATGTGAGTTCACGTTCAATAACTAGCTAGTATTTAGAAAGTGGAATATAGATGGAGAGCCTTTAATACAAGTAACTTTCACTCTGTTGTAGTATGAGCTAAAAAGCTTATCACTGCCATTTCTTAGTAAATGTGTATATCAGCTACCATGTGTGACCCACTGACGGATGGACCAGAGATGTTTCTAATGAAATTTTCATTTTTATTATTTATAAAATAATAGTAAAAAATAATATTATAAAAGATAATAAACCGTCACATAACTACTCTTTGTTAGAAAAAAAATTAAGATTTAAAATAAAAATTAAAAAGGATATATTTGAAAGAAAAAAAGGCTATACCAAAATAATGTTTTGTCTTTATATATAGACTAGCGTTCAGACGGTACAGAGTGCCCTTCTGTCTGCTTTTTTTAATGCGCACAACATAGAAAAATAAATGTGTGTATATTTTGTATGAAGTTTTTATCATACTTAGAATTAAAAATAATATTTTTAGATATCCTCGCGTAGTCTTAAAATGTGCACATGTTTTTTAGTGCGCATACTTTAGGGGCAAATCACTCTTTTATGGAAGAGTCTATATAGTATAACCTTCAAAGGGAGAGAAGTTTTCCTTCTGATTATTGTTATTTCATGTCAAAGGTCAAATTAATTGGAAATATCTTCTTACAAATAATGACAATTCGTTTAATACATTTAAAATATCAGTTGAGGATAAATGATTTTTAGAGACTGATCATAATATCCGTTATTGTTTGATTGAGACTACGGCTCTTCAAATGTCATATGCTTTAAGGAGGTAATTCGTGACAAGACTAATATTTTGTGAACCTAGCCCTATATCAATCAAAGTATGCTTAATTTTAATAACTTTTTCCAATCAAAAAAATCGCCTATATACTTTATTATTATTCTAAAACGTGTAAGATATCAAAATTATTTGTTGAAAATTTTATAATTATTTTGAATATTCATAATGCAGATTTAAATTAGCATGAACATCATTAAAATAAATAAACACATTTTCAACATATTAGAGGCAATGGTGACATCAAACATACAAATTCTAACTATAAGCATCAAGCCAATATTTAAAATAAGTGATTTACTTTGATTCGATAACTAAATTTTATAATTAATTTTTAATGGGTAGTTGAAATGGAATTGGAGGTCATATTTATTTATTTAATAAAAAACAAAAAACAATCTATTAATTATATATATATATATATATATATATATATATATATATATATATATATATATATATATATATATATATATATATATATATATATATATATATATATATATATATATATATATATATATATATATATATATATATTAAGAATAATTATTGCAAACACATGATTGTGGAAACTTAGAAAGAAAATCAACACCTTAAAACAAATTTTAAAATTTTGTAGACCAATAAGTACACAATTAATCTCCACTAAAATTAATATATATATATATATATATATATATATATATATATATATATATATATATATATATATATATATATATATATATATATATATATATATATATATATATATATATATATATATATATATATATATATATATATATATATATATATATATATATATATATATATATATATATATATATATATATATATATATATATATATATATATATATATATATATATATATATATATATTAGTAATAATTCATATTTTATTATATTACTTTCTTAAGCCCATAAGTTTGTTAGAGGGTATTTTAGTATTTTATCTTATTCTAGTAACCCTAGTTTTAGCTTATAAATAGGGTGACAATCATTGTAACTCTTAATCCTGTTTCTTCTGCCGTCATTCTCTTTAATAGAATATTTCCCTATTTCATCATTTATTCTATCTTTGCACCAACAATTGGTATCTAGAGCTCCGGTTCAGATTCATTGGGAAACACGGGAAACACGAGTGAACGTGAGGTCTTGTGTGTTTGATTTTGATTCTTAGATTCGTGTTGAATCTTGAACAAAATCTGATCAGAATTTTATTCTGTGGGTTGGGAAACACTGTGTGAGAAAACTCTGAGTGTATTATGCAAAGTAGAAGATGAACGGAAACGGCAACATGAACACCAAGCTTCCAGTATTTGACGGTAAAAATTGGAATCGTTGGATGATCCAAATGCGTGTACTGTTTGGTGCTCAAGATGTTTTAGATCTTGTCACTGATGGTTATGTTCCGGTAGCAGCAGATGCAACGGATGAACAGAAAAACGCGCAGAAGGAAGTAAGGAAGAAAGATCAGAAAGCATTGTTCTTCATTCATCAATGTGTGGATGTAAACGTGTTTGAGAAGATTGCAGACTCTACAACAGCAAAGGCTGCATGGGACACTCTGGTGAGATGTTATGGTGGTGACGCATCAGTGAAGAAGGTGAAGCTTCAGTCCTTGAGAAAGTAATATGAGAATCTCAACATGAAGAATAATGAGAAAGTTTCTGAATACATCTCCAGAGTGATTCTGATCACTAATGAGATGAAGGCATGTGGAGAAACTCTTTCTGAAGAAACAATCATGGAGAAAGTATTGAGATCCCTTACTCCTCAATTTGATTACATTGTGGTAGCAATAGAACATTCCAAAGATCTGAGCACAATGAGAATTGATGAGCTGCAGAGCAGTTTAGAAGCGCAAGAGTTGCGTTTGACTGAGAGAACTTCTGAAAGGGAAGTAGAGCAGCAGGCTCTGAAAGCAACTTCTGATAGGAGGTATCAGAAGCAGTCAGAAGCCAAGAGAAGATCTGATGGTGGTCAGAAGTCAGAAAGCTCAACCTCTGATAGACAAAAGAATGCTCAGAAGGGAAAAAAGAAGTATGACAAGAAGAAGATCCAATGTTACTGTTGTAAGAAGTTTGGTCACTTTGCTAGAGATTGTTGGTCAAACAAGGAGAAGAAATCAGAAGAAGCAAATATAGCCAGAAGTTCTGATGACGAATCTGTGCTATTGATGGCCTCTGAATCTGATAATGTGGATCTGACAGACTAGTGGTATATGGACACTGGCTGTTCAAATCATCTTACTGGAAACAAGAAATGGCTGGTTGACTTTGACTCTGAAAAGAGGACAAAGATCAGATGTGCTGATGACAAATATCTTAATGCAGAAGGTATGGGAAATGTCAGAGTGACTCTGAACAATGGGAAAATAGCATTGATTCAGAATGTGTGGTATGTACCTGGCATCAGAAGCAATCTGATGAGTGTGGGACAATTAATTGAGAAAGGTTTCTCAGTTACCATGAAGGACAATCTTCTGAAGCTGTATGACTGTAATCAGAAGTTGATTATGGAGTCAGAACAGGGAAGGAATAGAACATTCAAGGTGAATGTCAGAACTGCAGACTCAGAATGTCTTAGTGCAACATGTGCTGAGAAGGAGAGTGAGCTGTGGCACAGAAGATTTGGTCATTTGAATTTCAGAAGCTTACAACATCTGAATTCAAAGAAATTGGTACATGGAATTCCTGCAATTAAGAAGCCTGAAAAGTCATGCAAAGTTTGCATGGAAGGAAAACAACCAAGATTGCCATTTGCATCAGAAGTTGCTCCAAGAGCAAAACATGCCTTGGGAGTTGTACACTCTGATGTGTGTGGTCCATTTCCAGTAGCATCAATTGGAGGGAATAAATACTTTGTGCTGTTTGTTGATGAATTCACAAGAATGACATGGGTATCCCTTATTAAGTTCAAACACGAGGTGTTTGATGAATTCAAGAAGTTCAGAATGAAGGCTGAGAATCAGAGTGGTCAGAAGTTGAAGATTCTTAGAACTGATGGTGGAGGTGAGTATAACTCCAAAGAGTTCCAGAAGTTCTGTGAGGAGAATGGAATTGAGCATGAGGTTACTGCTCCTTATACCCCTCAACACAATGGTCTTGCTGAAAGAAGAAACCGTACTTTGCTTGATATGGTGAGAAGCATGCTAAAGGAGAAGAAGCTTCCTCAGAAGCTCTGGGGAGAAGTTGTTGCCACTGCAACGTATGTACTCAACAGATGTCCTACGAAGAAGTTGAAGGAAATAGTTCCTATGCAGAAGTGGACTGGAGACAAGCAAAGTGTTAGTCATCTGAAGGTGTTTGGTTCTGTTTGCTATAAACATGTTCCAGAAGCCAGAAGACAGAAGCTGGATGATAGAAGCAAAGTGATGATTCTGATAGGGTACCACAGTACAGGTGCATACAAGCTCTATTGTCCAGAAACCAATAAAATTGAGTTCAGCAGAGATGTGATTGTGAAGGAATCAGAAATTTGGAATTGGGATAAGTCTCAATCTGATTCTGATGTTAGAACCTCTGAAGAAAGGCCAGAGTTAAGAATTTCTGAAGTTGGAGTAAACCCTGACGTTGACTCTGACTCTGATACTGATTCAAACTCTGAAGATGACTCAGAAGATGAAGGTGACTCTGATGACCCAGACTCTGATAATTCAGACTCTGATGGCAATCCAGATCTTGGTGGCAATTCAGACTTTGGAGATATGCCAGACTCTGAAGATGGTCAAAGCTCTGGAAGTCAACCATCTGAAGCTGGAAACTCTGAAGCTCAAGACTCTGAACAAGTTCAGAGACCACAAAGAATCAGAAGCGTTCCCAGAAGATTTGCAGAATTTGACATGCTGCAAGACACTGAGGTAAACTCTGAAGGAGAAGTTATTCAGTGTGCCATGATGGTAGACTCTGAACCCATAAGTACAGAAGAGGCTCTTAAGCAGAATCTTTGGCTAAAGGCCATGAAAGAAGAACTTGATGCTATAGAGAGAAACAAGACTTGGAAGCTGACAGAACTTCCAAAAGACAAGAAAGCCATCAGCGTCAGATGGGTTTTCAAGAAGAAGTTAAAGCCAGATGGTTCAATTGGCAAACATAAAGCAAGGTTGGTAGCCAGAGGATTTCTACAGA